TTTTAAAAGGCCATGGGTTCAAAAGTGCCCTTACCTGAAGTAACACCCATTTACACAATTATATTCACATTTGACTATTACCTAATTTTCTTGAGGTTAGCTTTCAAATAAAACTTGTAAAAAACAAATAAAAAAAGTGATGCACAACCCACTGACCAGCCTTTCAGAAACCAGCTCCGACAGCTGTTTGTGTACTAAAACAATATGCTTTTAAAAGTTATATGGAGTGACATTTGATGCTGTATCTACAGCTGTTTGGCTGAGTTGAGCATAGCCCATGAGCTCTTTTTGGCTTCAGTTTCTGAAGAAAAGCCAGAATGCTTTTCAGGGATTATGGGAGCACTCAGTTTGTCCATCCCACGCACCTGGAATTAAAGTAAAAATCAGAAGAAAAAATAGGATCTGCAAAAAGGAAATCCATGCCAGAGCAGTGTGTATGACAGCCTGTACTGTAGTTGTTCATGGATACGTAAGCTCTTACTCCAGGCAAAACATTTCCATTAAAATCTACTGTTCTCAGAAGCAACTGCTCCTAAACCAATTCAAAGCTCTGTTAGTTTGACCGTGCTAACTTGTGAAGCCCACCATACTTAGACACCAAGCAGATGTAAGATAAAAAATAAATAAACCGGCAATTAGATAGTTTGACTAACATATAACTAAACACATCTAGATGGTAAAAAGTTCAACTTTTGAAATCATATGACCTGAAGTCCCCCAGTCTCTCTTTTGAGCATGCAGCACACAATCATTAGATTCAGAACCAGGCCAGCATATGTTAAAGCAGCCAACCTTCACTGAAGCTTTATTTTTCTTGGCTTTCTAACAAGGGCCTCTGTGTCAAGGCTTACGACAGCTTTAGGGCAGACCCTACATTAAGATAGATAGACTTATATTTCCAGTTCCTTCATAGAACTAAAGAGGCATCAGCTTTCATTTGTCCTACTCCTCAGAAAAGGGCTTAGTGAAGGGAATATGGTGTCAATCAGGAGCCAACAGAAAACAGGCCATAATTTAAAGAAAAAATATAATAATAAAAATTTTGCCTAGATAAAAGATCAGAGTACATTGTGAAACCAAAAGGGTTATGGGCAGTACTTGGCCAAAAAGCATGTATGGAAGCACATTTGGAAAATTCACCAGAATTTAAAAACCCATAGGGGACACATTCATTCAACATACTAAGATTTGGGATGCAATAATACAAACTTTGCACATACTACACTGCTGCAAAAGTTTTGAATCGGTAGGGTTTTTTCTGAGAAGTCTCTTCTGCTCACCAAGGCTGCATTTATTTGAGAAAAAAACAACAACACTAATATTGTTAAATATTATGACAATTTAAAGGGGTCATATAATGGTACATGCACTTTTACAAGTTGATTGTACTGAAATGTGTGTGTTAGCAGTGCCTGTAGTGTACACAACCAACATATAATGATAAAAATCCATCCAGTGTTTTTGTTTTAATCTCCTTATATGTTTTCCCGTCTCAAATCGAGCCGTTCGACCGTGTGATGTCACACGGTCGGACGCCCCTCCCACGATTGTTGATTGACAGCAGTGTTTCAACACAGACCCGCACTGAGCGAGCTGCCAATGACATCATAGTCCGCTATTGTTGATACGCTGGAGCAGAATGGCGTCTAAGCGATTGTGGTGTTCTGTTCTTGGGTGTAATAACGAACACAGCAGTCATTTTGATGTTCCTAAATCCGAACGCAGTGGCTGAGTTTTGTTTTCGAAGGGAATATTCATGTTTGCGCGAATCATTTCATACCAGACTGCCTTATAAACGAGGGTAAGTATGAGCTGGTTTTGCTAAGAAGCTGCTCCTGAAAAAAGAATCGGTACCAACTATTTATGTTCCCTCTGCACCTCCAGAAGAAGTAAGTGTAAAGTATTATTAACCTAAATATTAATCTTTGCAAATCGCGAAAAAAAGTTTTTCATGACCATTAGTTGTAACGTCAATCTGTCAATGAACTAACGTAAGTTATACATCAGTAAACACATAGCGTTCGTACCTCACTACTCTACCCTGCTGCCAGTGCATACAAAAATAGATCAAAGTGACATTACATTAACCAACCATTCAGAAACGTCCTGTTCGAGCCTTAATTGTCGAACTTCTTTGCGGCCGTCATCTTGTTCCGGGTCCGACTCCGGTTCAAACTGATACGGTTGCACAGATGTGTCCTCAGAGACTCCCGCTGCCATTCTTTCTCCAAAATATACCCTCAACTGTTGTCAAGGCAACACTCCATGTGCGTTGTGCGCCCCACAGAACAGAGGGGCGGGGTGAGATAAGCTCATTATCATTTAAAGGCATATGCACTGAAACGGCGTGCTGAAAACAGAGCTGTTTTTGACCAGGTAAAATTAGTGTTTTCTTAAAATACTAATGAGATTTTTTAATAAAAGTATATTACAAAGTTTTCATTTAGACCCTAAACATTCATATTAACTTGTACAAAAATGGCATTAAATGACCCCTTTAAAATAACTGTTTTCTATTTTAAGATATTTTAAAATGTAATTTATTCCTGTGATCAAAGCTGAATTTTCAGAATCATTACTCCAGTCTTCAGTGTCACATGATCCTTAAGAAATCATTCTAAAATGCGGATTTGATGCTCAAAAAACATTCATTATTAATATCAATGTTGAAAACAGTTGTGTACAATTTTGTCTTTGATGAATAGAAAGAACAGCATTTATTTGAAATAGAATCTTTTGTAACATTATAAATGTCTTTACTGTAACTTTTGATCAATATAATTCATCCTTGATGAATAATAGTATTGATTTATTTCATTCAGCTGATTCGTTCAGCTTGATTAAGCTGATTCATTCAGCTTTGCTCACAGGAATAAATTACACTTTACTATATATTCACATAGAAAACAGCTGTTTTAAATTGTAATAATATTTCACAATATTACTGTTTTTATTCGTAATCAAATAAATGCAGCCTTGGTGAGCAGAAGAGATTTCTTTTAAAAAAAATAAAACATTTTACAGATCCAAAACTTTTGAGTGGTTGTGTACATAATATGGATAGTGAAGTTTTAAAGTGATCGCTAGAGATCACAGAAAATTATTCTAGTTTTCCAAAAAAATACGTTTATTGGAGCATGCTTCAAACAAGGAGGGGTATGAAGGTAAAAGAGTAGCAAAACTCAAGAGCATGTAGATGTGAATTTGAGAACTTGTACAACAAATATTCATACTTGTACTGTAAAATTTACACTCAAAGCTCCAATGTGAAAAACATCTCAGGTTACGACTGTAACTCTTGTTCCCTGAGAAGGGAACGAGACACTGCGTCGATGACGACACTATGGGGAACGCCTCTTAGCCCCAAGCTTGCTTGTAGCCTGCGCTTCCTGCCTCTCTTGTGGCCAACTGATGTTAAGTTTGGCCACAACACGCATCACAACCTCCTCATACACCAGTGCAGATTGAAATGGTACGTGCGACCCCACGCCGCGACGCTGAGCTGCAGCACCGGGCTCTCAACCCAAGCGGAAGAAGCTACGAGGCGGGCTTCCGCACGGGGAGTGAAGGGATCTGAGCTATCAGACGAGGACATTGAAAGCAGTCTCGATCTCCTCTGCTAACTCTCTCTGCGAGCCCCGCAATCTGAGCCGCGAACCGCGGGGAGCGCGAGCCTGGCCGGCTTCATGAAATACAGCCAGGCGGGAGCAGTACACACACATATCATTTGTGTCACCACCCGTGATAAAATGAGGGCAGGGATGCACACACTTTTTAAACTGCTCGCTTGCCATTTCACAATATATATTTCACAAACAACACCAAATAGACGATTCACACAACAGAGAGCACTTGCTGAAGAGCGTAAGCTAACGCTGTTGTGTGCAGGCGTCCCTTTGTAGCTTCCGTGTATGTAGCTTCCGTGTAGGATTGGATTAGTTTCATTCATGCTTCAGACGTGTTACGCTAAGGGGCGTTCCCCATGGTGTCGTCAACGCAGTGCGAGTTCCCTCGAAAGGGAACTGTAAAATAAAAATCTGAAGTTGAATGATGAGATTTGCACTTGCAGACAATAGTCATAAACCTGTATTATGATCAAGTAGTCACGAATGTTTAAAATATTATTCACAAACATACAATGACAGACACAAACTTGTTGTACATAGTTGCACTTATTCTTTCATTCACATTCACAGTACAACCTCAATTAGGCACTTGCAACTTCTCATATCAGTCACTGCAATTTAAAACTTTGCGTCTTGACTTTTGAAACTGTTTTCGTGATATATCTGATGCATAACTAACTTGTGCACTTGCAAACTCAGTGCACTCAGTTGTTTTATTGGTTGGCGCCTAGCCAATGAAATGGGACTTCTTTTGTATGCAATGATGTAACGACACCCGCGGCCTCGGGGACGTTCTGAAACGCAAACGCCAACTTCGGGAGCGCAGCCTTGCTCAAAAACCTCAGTCGAAAAACTGGGGAAGGTGACAAATAAAAAGTAGACAAACTCATCCACCTCAAACTTTATCCATATAGCTCTATTTAAAAAAAAAAATATATATAAATATATATATAAAATGCTATTAAAAAGGGAGCATAAGCCCTAGCTTAACCCCTATTCCTCGGAATAAGAGAAGGGCGACAGGTGACACTATCTATTCACTTGCCAGCTCCACTCGGAGAGCACAGCCCTGGGGCGTCTCTTCCCCCTACAACTCGAGCAGCCATGGTCACCTTCTGCTCATCTCTTCAAGAACTTGTTCCCAGAGAAGGAACAGAAGACTTTGGAGGAGCTAACCCCACTAAAACACTACCTCAATATTCGCATAACTCAAACTTGAAGGAACTATGCAAGCAGAGTAAGGGTGCCACCTCCGTGTGCAGGTCCGGGAAGGCTCACCGGAGCTGGAGACTTATGACCTGGTAGATATCTCTCGTCTGAACAGCCATGGACAATCTCACGCTTCGTGCGCAACTAACTCCTGACAAACAAACTAAAAGTTGCGTTTGCGTCACACAAGAGCAGCCATTTCCCCCTGTTGCCATGGGAACGTTATGAAGTGACGTAATCACGTGACGTGAACATCATCGAAAAGCTGTAAAACAGGAGCACACTTTATTTTTTTATATTTCATTTATTCATTTTTACAGAAGTTGTAGCATATTCCTTTTGTGAAGCTACAGAACTTCTTTGACTCATCAATGTTTTGTAAGTTTGATGTGTTTATTAAGGTCTTGTAACGCGTTGTGTCGGGAAGAAAAATAGGGATAGGTCACAGCTGAAGTTATTGCAGAGGCCAGACAGACTCACAGAGGCGATTGACATCTCACAACTCGCACTTTATTCCCAAATCGAACTCGTATAACTGTGTGTCACACGTTCTACCGTACACATCGTTACTTAATAAACAAAATAAGATAAAAGAAGTAGCATCAAACAGAAATTACCCACACACATGGGGTGTTAGAGGCGCATGGCACATACAATATAATAACGTTACTGCAGACAGTTCAACAGGGAGCGCGCAGCTCTTAAAGGGGCCACACCTTATTTCCACTCGTTACAGTCTGAAATAAAACAAGATGAGAAATTAAATATTCCCAGCACTTTGCTTGCTTATCATAGGAAGTAATAAGAAATGACTCTTTACATTAAAGTAGTAGCCTAGTGAGAACAGGGTGTTGGGGGAATCACTTTTTTTTCTCTTTTTCATCAAACCGCAGTTTTTGCAAGTTCCCGCAGTTTTTGCAAGTTCCCGCAGTTTTTGCAAGTTCCCGCAGTTTTTGCAAGTTCCCGCAATTTCATCGCATAAAATTGCATAAATATCGCGCATATTCCATCGCATTTTTAAAGAAAACGGGCCGCATAATCAAGGATTTTTGCCCGCAACAATCACAAAAAAACTCAGCGTTTTTCTGGACGGACTGTATATAGTGCACAATATCGGGTGTCTGCCATTTTGTAGTGGTGTCCGAATTCTGAGTGAATGACATTATTCCCTACATTTGTTTACTACTTTATACGCACAATCTTCTCTGAATTCGAGTGCACATCGAGTCCAGCTCTTAACTTGCTGAAGCACTATTTCCCACAATCCAATGCGCGGAGAGGACTGAGCACGCGTGAAAGTGCGGGAGACAGAGATTTCTTTACAGCTTTCTTATTTCTGCTTTAATATTTATTTCATGCTAGTTTTAGGGATTTTATTCTACCTTTTTTTATTAATCATTACTTGAATAAAACATATTACAATATGGAGACAATATTATATAGATTAATTTATATTATTTGTATTAAAATATATTAACTCAATTTAATGTGTTTTACTAAGACTAAGAGCCAGGTGTTTTAATAATTTGTGGCATTGTTGTTAACTCATTAAATTGTAAGGAAGAGATGATAATTTGGTGGATGATTAAAAAATATTCGTTAATCTAGCGTATTAATTCAAATGTAATCATAAGGGTCACCTGAGGGCACTCAATGACCACGTCATCTGTGAGCGTGAGAGTTTCTAACAATTTCAATCGATGAAACTACAAAGCTGGCACAGAGGTATATATAATTACAAAATAATGTCATTATGATTGTTATTTTTATTAATATTATTTTATAAAGTAAGTAACATGTAAGATAAAAGTAGTTTTATCACTACGTGTGACAAAGCCGTTTCTGCGACAGCTCCAGCTCTCCGACGCACAGTGTAACCTACGTCAGGGTCCGAATTCACTCACTTCATTTCGTTCACTCCTTGCAGATATAGTGCACTCAAATGCCATACACTATATAGGGATTAGTAAATGAGTGAACGAGTGAGCGGTTTCGGACACAGCTCTGGTTCCCCATTGCGTCAGCAAATTAGCCTATGCAGTGTGGAGTTCCCTCAAAAGGGAATTATTGCTGAATCGTTGAACTATGTTTGTAACGACGAAGCTTGGAAACGCACCTCAGATTGTTGGACTTACATACATTATACACTTGGATAAGCAAGCTGCAGTAGGCCTACATTCCATATTTTTCTTTCAGTTTCTTTCAGCATATAGGTCTACATTTCAATCTATTTTACTGTAGCATGCCAACAACAATCACCGCCACTTTAAAAGAGTGTGCATGTGCTTAAGTTTAAAAGGTAGCCCCAGAGTATGACTTGAGAGGGATAACCCGCAATTAAACACATCAAATAAAGCAAAATGACAGGGATCAAAAATAATGAAGTAGTCCTCAGATGCCAGATGCCAGATGCCAGAAAATACATTGTGGAGAAAGCTGCTGACTGAATAAATCGGGATTAAAGTGTATGCAAATTATACTGCATGTAAACATGATTTAGGGTATGTTTACATGGCACCGATGTACTAAAACAGAAAAGTTTCCTGTGTTTTTTGCATTCAGATGACAACGTTGTCAAAATAATCCCCGCACACACACACGTATCTGCGAAAACAATAAAAAAATGCTGTATTATGAATGCCAGGCCAGTAGTTGGTGTAGTTGGTGAGGTCACTAAGAAAAACTATGCGTCTATAGACTGAACACTTAATAAGCATGCTCATGATGTCACTGTTTTCACAAATTTGTGTTTTTGTAATTTAGCATAAAAAGTTTTCAATTTTTTGTTGAAAACGGTGTTGTGTAAACGACCCCTTAAAATATGACTGGCTTTGTGTAAATGAACAATAATAATCTGTCATTAATTGAATCGATTAATTAGCACAAGTTATTACTGCACCACCTGCATATGAAATCATTAACGACAGTCCTATATTTTTATACTAACATTTAAATGATGACGAAGTGACCAGGTTATTCTGGTTTCAGAAAACAGTGGCAACTAGTTAATTTCTCCGACATGCATTGCACTATGGTAGTTGAGCAGCGAGATGCACCCCAGATTGGGGTTAAACATGTATACAGTTTGACTTTCTTTCTTCTCTGTGACAAGCAGGTGTCAGAAACAAAAAGTAATGCAGCTTTGGTCCTGGGGTATATCTGCTTTTCCAAAAGCTCCACCTATTGTGGAGAGTGAATTTGCATTTTCCTTCAGCCCGTCTGTATTTTCAACGCATTCTCATCCTTTGGCGTCATATAGGTGACGCCATATGACATTTCGTCGAAATCTTACGCACATGGCATCCTTTAGCGTCAATATAACACGCACTGTTATGGGTAGGTTTAGGTCTGGGGTAGGGTACGGTTATGACGCCTTGGGATCTGCGTCTCATATTGACGCTAAACGATGCCATGTGCGTCGGATTAAGACGAGCGTCACCTGTATGACGCCTTGGGTTCTGCGTCTCATATTGATGCTAAAGGATGCCATGTGCGTAAGATTTCGACGATATGTACAAAGCGTCACATGTATGACGCCAAAGGATGAGAACGGGCTGGTATTTTTTTATAAGAGTTTTATTAGGTCTGACATACAAAAACACTTAAAATACTGTAGTTATACTATAGTATTGCTTTTGTGCATGCACATACTGTTCATACACACACAAACAACCTTGAACTCCCTTGTACATTTAAAGTGACTATTTTTACAGTGTTATTGTATGGGCGGTGGTACTGAGATAAACTAATTCTATGCTACTCTTTCTCTGAATCTCTGTTCCAAAGCTGTGGCTATTCAAAGCCCTTAAACACCAGTGTTTCTGAAAGGTAAGACTGAGTTTTCTGTTATAAAATAGCAGAGTAATAATTACTGATATTATGTTGGTTTATGTATGTGTCTGTGTACACGTGTAAGGTCATGAGTCATTCAGGATATCCCATACGCCACTTTTAATGGAACAAGACCGCTACTTGGGGGTCCGGTTTGGAGGTCACTGAACGCAGGATGTTCACTTTAAAGGCTGTAGAAATTACACAACCATGTGATTAAACTGCTGGATGAGTGATTGTGCAGTTACTTTCAAAGTGATTCAAAATGTGTCCACAGATGCTGCCTGTGAACACACCATATATGTATCATTGAAACTAGGTCATTGACTGAAAAATACACACAAATTTACTTACTGTGTGTTCATACACACCGCTGTGAAAAATAAGTGTGCTTAACTGTACTGAACGTGCATTTATAGTGTACTTCAAATCTTAAAAGTAACTTTCTTAAAAACTGTACTTGCAGATTATATTATATTATATTAATTAATTAAATAAAAGGGCACTAAAGTGTCCTTAAAGAGAGTTCACAATCATTGTTTCTTAACAGTTAAGTAGACCTTTAAAAAGTTCGCTTTGTAATAATGTTAAATTTACTTTAAAGCACATTTTAAATCATTGTTATTATAATCATGTACACTGATTTTATGACATGTAAAGTACTTGATTATAACTGTAACTGTCGTGTGTTATTCAATATCAAATTTCAATTTAAATATTAAAGTTAGTATACTGTATTTTAAATGTACTGAACAGCAACTTTATCATTACAAATTGATAATTGCAATTAAATATATTATATACAAGTTTCAGTAGAATTTGCATTAAAGTATAATTTAGTTTCCCATAAATAATCGTCAATATACAGTATTTCAAAGACAATAAAAAAACAAAATTATGAAATTACATAAAACTATGTATTTAGGCTCTACTTAAGTGGGTCAAAAGCACTCTAAAGTTATGCATTTAATATCATTTTAATCTTGAATACATTTTCATTTAATTGCAATTAACATGCAATGAAGTGCCGAACACATTACATTCAGTTCACATTTAAGTATATTCTTTGTTATTCTAAGTATATTACTTAATAAGTACTCTACACTTTATGTCAATAGTCCACTTTAGAGTAACTATAAGTACTAACTATAAGTAACTTTGCAATTACATGTCAACTAACTCTCAATAATTTGCAACTAAATGTCAACCAACTCTCATTAGAGTATTAGTAGGTTAGGTTTTGAGTTATCAGAATAAGTTTGCATGCTTACTCTGTTACTTATAGTTTGAATGTCTATGGGGGACCAACACAATAAAGTGTAAGCAGATATTAACCCTCTAGGCGCCACGGTCGAGTTTACTCGAAGAGATGCGGCTCTGAATAAAACGGCCGATTTTGTCAAATTGGGTGTCAAATTTCGTTCGTCCTCCCTTCCACTGGATGGCAGACATGTCATACTTCATCCCCAAATCAAAAAAACGTCATGTTTCTATACAAAATGTTCGAATTAGAGCGCATTGAATCAGTGCGATCAAAAGCGGAGCTAGTGTGCGAGTGAGCCATGTTATCAGATCCTCTCCGCAATCGCGGCGACAGTATTGTGGTGGAGACTTTGTCTAATGCCACTGGGTATGTTAGACGAGGTCGAAGTATTCATAGGAGAGTTAGGAGAC